TTTTATTACCTTACAATAATGTTTACTTTAGGGAGTGGAAGGAACATGAAGAACTCTTAGCATTGCTTAAGAAGACACTCATTTAGATTACATTAAGGTTCAGGGTTTGTTTAGAGCTCGTTCTGACTCATGGTGATCCTGTGTGTCAGAGGAGACCTCCATTGCATCTGTTTAACTGGTTAGAGTGAGTGCTGGTTGGGGAATCTAAGAAAATAGAAGCCCGTCCTGCCTTTTCCTCAAATAAAAACAAAAACAACTCTTTCCTAATGAACTTAGAACCTTCTAAATAGAAAATATGGCTACCCTGGCAAACACTAATTTAATTACTACGTGCAATAAACTGTTAACTCCAAAATATGACTCTAAGCAACCTCTGTTTTTACAGATGGGAAAATTTTATTTCATCAAGTGTAGGTAACTTGCATTGCTGTGGCGCCCAGTAAGACTCCAAAACCCCACACTCCACTATGCCTCATTGTCCCCACTATACTGGACTTTCACTCACATTTTTTTGGAAATTTCATTGGTTGAGGGACAATGAAAATGAGGAAAACTCTCCATCAGATGGTGTTCTCCTTGGTTACCAGACAGTCCTTCTCTTTGCCCCCTCAAATATTCATCCTTTGCAGGTTGTTTAGAGGTGCCGGTGAGGACTCACTTGGTTGCTAGAACCGACAGTACCAAACATGGCTTCCAGGCAGGAGGGTCAGAGATAGTGTCTAAGTCACTTCTGCTGCTCTAACAGAAGTTCTATCTAACAAGTGAATGGCTTTAACAGACAGAAATCTGTTTTCTCACACTTTACGAGGTAGAAGTCCAAATTCAGAGTGCCAGCTTGTGAGGAAGATTTTGCTGTCTATGGGCTCTGGAGGAAGGCCCCTGATTCCTCACTTTCTGCTTCTTGCTTCCTTAGAGATCTCCATGTGTCTTGGCATCTGCCTTCCCCATCTTTAGTCTTCTTGCTCATTTAATCCCTTTATAGCTCAAAAAAGATGGACTCAGTTACACCCAATATTGTAGTCTCGTTAACATAACAAAGACAACCCAAATCCCAAATGGGATCATCACCTCAGGCATAGAGGTTAGGATTTGCAACACGTATTGGTGGGGAGGGGAACATAATTCAGTCCACAACAGATGCTCTGCAGGTCACACATTTATGTGGAAAACAGACAAGGTCAGTGAGGACAGATGTGCAGGCTGTGTCTTACACAAGGATGCCTCCCTTTACATCTAGCGCACATTTTACTTGCCAAGCCACGTGCCCTGGCCATGGATGTGTCTGCACAGAGGAAAGGACAGTCGTTTGCTAATTTGCACAGATTCTGTCTGTGTCAACTTGCCAAGCCCTGCATCTGCAAAGCTCTATGCACCAGAGAGGGTGACTTTTGCAAATCTGCAAAAAGCCACTGTGTGTGTTAGAGTGGGGCTGCCAGCGTCCTTGCTGTGGCCCTTCTCAACACAGTAATGCTTTCTGTGATTCAGGGGTAACCAGCCAACAAAATGGTAAGCGAGCCTGGTGATTTTTCTCTTTCTTTTTTCTCCAGCTCACCCCCACCCCACTCCAGTTATTTGGTGAGACTAGGAAAACGTCAAGTAGAACAAAAGGTAGTGAGCGCAGGAGGGAGAAAAAGAATCCCAAGTCTGTATTTATCAGATGACTTTTTTCCTTTATATTGAGTCTTAAAATCTCTTTTCCCACTCTGTTCCTACAAACAGCTCTTGGCTCTTCTGCTGGTGGAACACTATAGCCTGGGGTCTGGACTCCAAGGCTGGCCTGGCCTGGGCCTCAGGAACCCCAAGTCTGAGTCCATGTTTCTGGTATTCACTTTGTTCTTTGTCTCGACAACACCCCCAGACTTCGCTGTTCATCTCTTTAACAAAGGCAAAACAAGAACACCCTTTATGGTGCCTCTTTCCTTTCTGCCTTGTCCATGGACTGTGCTGCTTCCCCGCTGGAGGGATGACTAATTTCTTTGTCATCCAGCCCGTCCAGCTGCTCTAATTGCCTCTGTTTGTGCAGCGCTGATGGAGCTTTCCTTTTGTTTGTGTGAGACTGGTTTCTACCAGAGTCCCTGGAGATTCAGAAAAGTCAACAGCAGCCCAGGAAGGCTGAGAGCTACTAGAAGAGAGTCAAATCTGTAACCCTCTCAGGAGCAGAAAACAAAAATAGTCCTTTTCCACTCTTGTGTTCCTTCAGTTGCAGAAGAATTGAAAAGATGCAGCTTTTGAATTTTTGTACCCATCCCTACGTCACATTCCTCCACCTCAGCTTAGTCGCCACTTAGAGCCTCACTTAGTTAGCTGGGGAGGGAGCTCTCACCTTGTGAACAGGTAGGGGATATACAAAGGTATTAATACTTTATCTCTCACTTGACGATTTTCCAGTTTAAAATTGTGTTGCATTAAGAGGATTTTGAGTTCTTAAAATGAAACAGTAGCTTTATGGATGTTTGGAGAAGAGACTAAACCAATGTGCAGAACTCACATAAATAAGTTTAATCCTAGGGTAGTCTATAGCAAGTCATGCTGCTAACCCGAAGGCCTGTTCTGCAGGAGAAAGATGGGCAGTCTCCTCCAGTTGTGATTTATGGCCTTGGAAACTTGGAGGAGGGCACTATAAGTTGGAACTGATTTGATGTGAGTGAGCTTTTGAGCTTGGGATAAAAGAGAAGAATTAAGTTCCTTGTTTGCAATTCATTTACTTATTAATTCGCTGCTTCATTCTAAATTTCTTCAAAACATCCTGAGGCTTTAGAGTTAACACATACTTGCTTCCTAATCTGAAAGTCTGAGCTAGGTAATAAAGGGTTGGACCCCCTAAAAATGTATGGATTAATCATAAAGCTGGACACTGACTAAGGATGATAGAAGGAGAATTGATACCTTTGAGTTGTGGTGCTGGAAAAGAGTATTGAATATATCGTGGACTGCTAAGAGAAGAAACAGTTAATTCTGGAGAGGGTGAAACCAGATTGCTACTGGGAGGCAAGGATTTTGAAGCTTCATCTGACATACTTTGGGCATGTTGTAAGAAAGAACCAGTCCTTAGAGGGACATCATACTTAGGATAGAGGAATAATGCAAGAGAGGAAGATGCTAGATGAGATGGATTGATGCAGTGACTTGGGTAATGGAGGTAGGTGTGTTGAAGACAATGAGGTTGACTCAAGATAGAGCAGAGTTCAGTGCTGTTGTACGAGTCGCAAGCGACTCTACCACACACACCAACAATATCCTTAATAGGGGGAATAAATATAAGAAAATCTGTGGGGTTTTTTGTTGTTGTTGAGAAAAATCCTTGAAAAAGATTTTAAAAAACCCATGTATTGAATGCCTATTGGGCAATGCTCTGATCTGTTGTTCCAGGGTAGTGAAGAGTAGTCACTGACTAAATGGCACCTAACAACAATGACAACAAGAAAATAGGTCTTCCCTGCCCTTTTCTTTCTGTTCTATCTTCCTCTTTCCTATTTTATGTGATTTTCTAGTGCAATCCAGTGAGGTAAACATTAAGATCTAGTTTTAAAGATTATAAATAATGGGACAAAATTAAGATGGGGAACTTGTGAAGAATCTGAGAAATGCTTGAGAAGTGAAATTTGGCAAAAGCAAAGAAAAAGCAAATCCAGAGAAAGTCCCTATGATTCAAAAATTGGAAAAAAATACCCAAGTACCCCAAATTTCTTTTCTTCTGTAACAGCATGAAACAAATGAGTAGTTAAGTTGCACAGCTGCTTCGTGAGAAAAGGGCCCTCAGCAGCACACCCCACCTTGAGGGCTGAATTAGAACGAAGACCTTTCACCCTGAGGAGGGGAGGCTGCAATGCCCCCGCCCAGGCCCTGGATTCTGTTATTGGATTCACTGCTGATCAGGTCCTCCTGTGCGACCTCTTACCCTCTTTCTTAAGCTCTGTTTTTCCTCTGCTGCCTGTCATCACTGCCCTAGAAGATTCAGTCAGGCAGAAAGAGCTCCCCCCACCCCGCCCCTTTATTTAGTTTATCTTTGCTATGAGGTGAGTTTGTGGAGATGGAAGGAGGATGAGACTTCCAACAGAGTTTTTGCAAAGAAACAAAGAAAGGGTCAGAGCATGTCAAGGACGAAAGTCCTAGAAGCTTCTAGGCAGATGGAGTGGAGCTCTCCCCCTAGAACCCTTAGGATAAGGGGGGAGGGGTGGGATCAAAAAGTTGTTGTGACTGAAGGGAAATGAGTCAAGAGAAGAAATGCCCTGATTTAATTCTTGTGAACGAAGAAGTGAGAGGTCCGCCAGACCACAAAATAACACCCCAACGAACTAGCCTACTTTACACAGCTGAGCACAAGATCACTAGGGAAAGGCAAGTGGAAACTGGGAACTGTGGATCCAGGAAGATCTGAGTCTAATGACCAGAAAACCAGATGCCTCCTCTTATTTCAGTAAATCTGCATTTCATCGAGCCTGTTGCAGTCTATAAATAAAAGACACAGACATTCCAATGGAGGAGTGAAATAGGGGGAGGGCTGGTGTAGAGAAAGCCTTGCCTTTGTTAGTTGGAAGATGGAGAAGGTTTAGACATGGAAGTAGACTCTGTTATAAATGGAAGAGCAGAGGCAATCTGAGGTAAGCTGGCTCTGTGATGTGTCGGCAGTAAAATCCCCGTAGCTTTCCTTGAAAAAAGTCAGAGAGAGGACATTGCTGTGGCTTAAATAGTCAACCTGGGCAGGAATTCACTTCCAGGGAAACCAAGCCAGGGCTCTGCTGCAATTTGGCTGCCAAGAAGCGTGTGAGATGGTCTTGCACTTCAGCACATGGGTCTCTGTCAAAAGCATCTTCCAGACTCTTGTCCGGGTATTTTCCACTGTAGGAGATGATGCGGGAGAACGCCAGCCATGGTAGAGACTCAGATTTTCAAACTTTGTCATATACTTTGCATTCTTACATCATATGATTCAGCTCCCCCCCCCCATTATTTTCTTCTAGGATTTAAGGAAGGGACACTGGGAAGAACCGATGACTAAAATGAAGAGGGAACTTGTGTGTCTATTGCTGTTTTGTGGTGTGGCCTTCACTTTGTCCATCCAGGTGAGATGTCCAGGGTATCTCTGTTTTGTTGTTGTTTTTCCTTGTGGTGTACCGTCAAATCAGATCCAACTGGCACAGGAGGAGATTGCCCCTCCTTCTTCAGTGGAGCATCTGGTGGATTCGAATCACATGCCTTTGGGATTGCAGCACAACCTCTTGCCACTAGGCCACCAGAGCTCCCTCAGGCTATCTCTGTGCTCTTCATCCCTTGAGGCTGTAGTCCTTTCAGAAACTCTCAGTGTAATTGAGTTTCATCTGATCCACAGAGGTGGAAGGAGGTCAGAGAAAGTGAACCTGCAGAATAAACATGCAGCCATCCCATATATAGGGCACTCAGGATTCAGGATGCCAACAGCAAAACACTAGATGCTGACTTGAATAAACAGTTCCAGTTCACTGCCTCTGATCACCTTGTTTGGAACTGATTTTAAAGAATGTCTGGGAGTTAATCCATAAAGTATTTCTAAAAGACTATGTAAGCACACTGTGTGCTATAAAATGAAATTACAAACATGCTTGCTTATTATTCAGTTAGGAAAGAAGTTGCATGAATTCTTTGAAAATGCTCAACAATAAAGGCTATCATATAAGGCCACGTGAACAATGCCTGAGCTACAGGAATTTAGAGAAGGGAAAGTTTGACATGGCTTCATGAAAGAAATGGGTGTCTGCAACTCCACTGTCCAGTATGGTAGCTGCTAACTATGTGTGGCTATTTAACTTTGAAGCTAATTATGTTGTTGTTGTTGTTATGTGCCATCATGTTGCTTGCGACTCATAGCGACCCTACGTATAATAGCCCTATACCCTGCTCTATCCTGTGCCAATCCTACTGCCTTCAACACATTTACTCCAATTGAATCCCTAGTTACTGAATCAGTCCATTTCATCGAGGGTCTTCCTCTCTTATGCTGTCGTTCCCTGCACCCTCCCAAGCATGGCATCCTTCTCAAGGACTGGTCACTCCTTGCAACATGTCCAAAGTATGTCAGGAGAAGCTTCAGAATTCTTGCCTCCAAGGAGCAGCCTGGTTTTACCCTCTCCAGGACAAAGCTGTTTGTTGTCCATAGTACATTCAATACTCTTCTCTAACACCACAACTCAAAGGCATCAATTATCTTATCATCCCTAGTCATTGTCCAGCTTTCTGACCCGTAGTAAATAACTGCAAAGTAATCTGATAAACTTTAAAACTAATTTCTTTAGTCACACTGGATACATTTTAAGGACTCAACAGTCACATGTGACTAGGAGAAATCTCATTAGAGAATACAGATATAGACTATTTCATCAGAAAGACAGTTCTTTTGGAAAGGGCTAGCCTAGAGGAAAGGGACTGGTGGCCTAGTGGGTAGGGAATTGTGCTGTCAATCCAATTGTGTTGAAATCCACCAGCTGCTCCATGGGAGAAAAAGGGGCAATCTCCTCCTGTTTGGTTTACAGCCTCTGAAAACCTGCTGGAGGGTCAGCTATGAGTCGATTCTGACTCAATGGCAATGAGTGAGTGAGTGAGTGAGTCTAGGAAAGAAAAATGAGAATAGAGGCAACAAATGGATATTCCACCTGGGGCCAGTTATCCTCGAGGGAATCTTAGGGCTGGTGCTGTGTGACTGGCAGGTTCATGGGTGGCCTGGCCACCTTTATTCTGGAGATACTCACCATTTTCTGATCCTTTCTCCACCCCTGGAATTTTTACAGGAAAGCTATGCCAAGTATAGAAGAGGAGCCCGTTCGTACAGAGGTAAGATGAAGCTGAGGTACAAGGAGACTAGAGATGGCAGAAGGCAGGGTCAGAATTTAGACAGGGTGGAGGGTGCATTAGGTCCAGTCAAGAATTTGTTTCTACCCAAGATCTGTTTACTTGAGCCATAAGAAGCTGAATTCACACAGGTGGTTCCGCAGACACCAGTACGTTCATCATTTATTTCTGCTCACTCACTTTTCTGACACCAGCTAGCCAGATTCTGAGCAAAGCAGGACCATGAGTCCTTGAGAAGAGGTAGCCCATCATGGAACCACAAAGCCATGGGGACGTACAAGCTCAATAGCACAGAGTCCCTGTTACAGAAATGGAAAACCAGAGCTCTGCAGAGACCACGTGGCTTGCTCAAGGCTACACAGTGACCGGAAAGCTGACTCAGAACAGTGAAGCTCTTCCCAGTCCGCGGGGATCTTTTCCTAGATTGTAATCCCCATCCCACTGAACCTCACTCTGTCTGTAAGCACATTCATTTATATCTTTGTGCACGGTTTTTCTGTTGGTAAAATAGGGACAATGACCCAGGTGGTTCAGTGGCCAACCACTCAGAGAAAAACAGATCAGTAGTTAAACCCCAGCAGACACCACCCAGGAGAGGAGTGGGGTGTGGCAATCTGTGCATGTAAAGGTTTACAAACCTTGGAGACCCAATGGGGCAGTTTTACTCCCTCCTACAGGATTGCTGGTGTCAGAACTGACACAATGGCAATGGCTTGGGGTATTTTATTTTCCATTTTATTACCTCATTGACATGATGGGAAATAAAGAAAATTTCTCTCTATAAATCCATATTTGGGGTTGACCCTAGCTTATGTTTAGAAAGCAGAGGAACATTACTTGTAGGTTACCAAAAAGTAAAAACCAACTCATCAAAAAAACCCAGAAAATAAAAACAAGCCCATCAACAAATGAAAAATAGCTAACAAGTTACTTACTTAGCACTGATTCAGAGAGTCCCAATGAAGTAGTGCATTATGTGTCAGGCTGCTAACCAAAAGGTCAGAGGTTCAAATCCACCAGGCATTTGGAAGGAGAAAGATGAGCAGTCTCCTTCCATGAAGATCTATAGCCTCGGAAACCCGACGGCAGATCACTCTATGAGTCAGAACTGACTTGGCTGCGGTGGGTAGGCCCAGCCTCAGGTGCAAAACTATCCTTCATGTTTCTCCATCATGACTGCTTCCTTTCAAGATGGCAGACTTTTCAACATCCTTTTATAGTGAAAGTTTCCCCAGAATGGGTCACTTTTTAACTCTTAACTGCTTTAGTTGTTGAATAGCACAAAATTACCTACAAAAGTGTCCTGGTTCCAAGAGACGCTCAAAAGAAGCAAGAATACTACTTGTATTTTCACCGGTTTGTGACTCTAGAGGCTAGAGAAAATCTTGAGTAGTCAAATCAAGAATCTGGCTGTTGATTGTTATTTTCTTAGTATTTCTTGTCTTCATGTCTCTCAGGACATCTAAGCCACTTTTGCTTAACCCAGTGTTCAGATAGCCTCTAACTTACAGTTTATCTCTTCCTTTCTTCTTTACTCTCGTCCTTCTTCTCCTTCTCATCGTTCCTCTTCGTCTTCCTTCTGCATTTTGCTTTTGATCTTGGTTCCTGTGATTTCCAGATCAAACAAATTTGAAAGACTGTTAATAGGATTTTTAAAGCAGCTCAACAATGATGGTCAGTGGTCTTCATGTGATTTACAGCCTCTGAAGGCCTGTTTAGGGGTCAGCTGTTGAGATGGTTCTGACTCAACAGCACATCACAACAACGCTAAAGAGGCCAAACTTGTCTTTTATTACAGCGACCTGCAGAGATGAAAAAACACAGACGACGTATCAGCACCGCCAGTCGTGGTTGCGGCCCATGCTCAGAGGCAATCGGGTGGAATACTGCCGGTGTGACGGTGGCAGTCCACAGTGCCACTCTGTGCCTGTCAAAAGTATGTATCCGATTCTGTACCCATGCTTCTAACTCCAGAGGTCCAGTACCTTGAGCTCAAACTGTGTCTTTCACAATCCCCACCACAAAATGACTCCAGCCATGTTCTGCCTTAGGTGAAGATGGCAAAACAAAAAAAGAAATGAGACTATGTGACCTTTGTCGTTGTAGTTATGTGCCATCCAGTCACCTGTGACCCACAGTGACCCTATGTACAGCAGCTGTGAACACTGCCCTGTCCTGAGCCAGTCTCACTGACTCTGAGAAATGCTTTCACTTGCTAATCCTTATTGTTCTCATCTATAAAACGGTAAAAATAATAATGTATAATAGCTTGCCTCTGGAAACCCTATGAACTTGGAGAAAGGATGAATGTTATACCAGTGTCCAGGTCTTTTGTTCATAGGGTCGCTATGAGTTGCCTCCAATTCGACGGCACTTAACAACAACAACAACAATGTCACGAGTTTCATCAAGAATTAAATGAGTTGACTTTTAAAACTACTTGGAATGGAGCCTGGTGTATAGAAAACACTCTTAAAACTATAACTACTTATAAGAATTTAGGACATATTTTGCTTTGAGGATTGAATTAATTTTTTTAAAAATTTCTTTATTTCTCATGTCAATGAACATCTACAGAGATTTTGGAATTCCATTCACTCATTGTTGCACCCCTCTCCCCACCCTCCCCCCGTTTGCTCCTCTCCTTCAAACGCAAAAGGAAAACTCCCTCATTGGTACGCAATCCCCCACACACATCCCCCAACCCCCAAATATAATCCACTCTGCAACCCTCATTCCATACTCTTACGATAAACATAATGCCCTAAAATAGAAAATATTCTCTCCCCCAAAGACTTCAATGTCATAAACATATTTCATCTAGTTTTTCTCAGTCTTACCCCCATCCCGATGTCAGCCTCATTCTACAACAGTGGCAGCATATAGCATTTGTCCCTTTGTGACTGAGATACCTCACTCAGCATAATGTCCTCCAGGGTCACCCATTTTGAATAATGATTGAATTAATTTTTATGTGCAAAGAAGATTTCACTGCTTTCCCATCAAATCAGAAGCGATTCCTCACTGAGCCTCCTGCAGATTTTCAGGGGCTGTAAATCACACAGGAGGAGATTGCCCACCTTTCTCCCATGGAGCCTCTGGTAGATTCGAACTGCCTGCCTTTGAGTTGATAGTACAACTCCTTACCACTAGACCACCAAAGCTCCCTACAAAAGAGAAGAGTGCCTGGTATATATAAAAAGGACTGTTAAATCTAACAATTCTTGAAGTGGCTTTGAAAGTACTTGTTGCTAGCAGTTATCCATTTAGCCCCACATTTTTGTGACACACATAGAACAAAATCTTACCCAATTCAGCATCATCACATTACTACTGAGCCAGTTCCAAGATCATAGCAAACCCTGTAGATCAGAGCAGAACTGCTCCGTGGGATCTCCAAGGCTCTCGTCTTTACAGAAGCAGATTGTCATATCTTTGTTGTGTGGAGCTGCGGGTTTGAACCACCAGTGTTTTTGTTAGTAGAATAAGCTTAATCACTGCACCACCAGGACATCTTGATTGACCATCACTGTCGGACCAACCATGTACACAACACAAAAGAACACAGGCATTCACAGTCCTGTGCCATGCTCACAATTGTTGCCATATTTGAGCTCTTTTTTACAGCCATTGTGTCAATCCATTTTATTGAGGGTTTTCAATGTTAGCAAACATGATGGCCTACTTCAGGAGAGAGGTTCATCATTGTGGTTGTTGTTAGGTGCCGTTGAGTTGAATACAAACCATAGCAACCCTGTGAACAACAGATCTGAACCCTGCCCAATACTGTGCCATCCTCATGTTTCCTGACATATTAGAACCCATTGAGGTAGTCACTGTGTCAATCCACCTGGTCAGGGGTCTTCTCCTTTACCAACCCGATACCTTTTTGAGCATCATGTCCCTCTCTAAGGAGTTAGCCCCTTCTAGCAGCGTGTCTGAAGTGAGGCAAAACCTTATCATCTTTGCCTCCAAAGAGCACTTTGGCTGCACCATCTCCAAGACATATTTGTTGTCTGGTTCAGCATATTGTTGTTATGTGCCATCGAGTTGCTTGTGATTCATAGTGACCCTTTGTACAATAGCCCTGAAACTTGCTCTAACCTGTGTCAACTTTACTGCCTCCGACACATCTACCCTCATTACCCCAGTTACTACAACAATCCATCTCAGTAAGGATTTTCCCCTCTTGTGCTGTCCCTCCAACCTCCCAAGCATGATGTCCCTCTACAAGGACAGATCCTTTCTTGCAACATGTCCAAAGTATGTGATACAAAGCCTCAGAATCCTTGCCTCCAAGAGCAGGCTGACTTCACCTTCTCTAGGACAAACCTGTTTGGTCTCCTGGCAGTCCATGGTATACTCTAAACTCTTCTCCAGCACCACAGCTCAAAGACATCAATTCTCTTTCTGTCATCCCTAGTCATTGTCCAGCTCTCTGATGCAAAACAAGCAATTGTGAAGACTATGGCCTGGATCAGGCACACCTTAGTCTCCAGAATGACATTGTTGCTCTTCAGTACTCTGGAGAGGTCTGTCATAGCAACATGCAAATCACCATTTTATAGTACTAGCTGGGAAATGAACCAAGGTCTCCTCAACAGATGGCAATAACTCTACCACCGAATGACTACTGGTTCCTGAAAATACTTAGGAGTTTTGTTATTTACATTTGACAGGTTGCAGTGAACCAAGGTGCTTCAATGGAGGAATATGTTGGCAGGCCGTATATTTCTCCGATTTCGTCTGCCAGTGCCCTGAAGGATTTTTTGGGAAAAGCTGTGAAATAGGTAAGTACATGGGTAGATGGATCAGTGTAAGGGTGGATATTGAAATTTCAACTCCCAAATTCATCCAGAAAAGAAAAGTGTGTAGTGGAAAAAAGAAGTGACAGTAGTAGAAGGGGAAACAGAGAAGGGTCATTCAGTGTTAGATTGTTGTTGCTGTGTACTGTTGGGTCAGAACAGTTTCATAGCTGTCCTTCAAGTGGGTTTTTAGAATCTGTAAACCACATGGGAGAAGATGGCCCATCTTTTTCCCCTTGAAGCAGCTGTTGGATTTGAACTGCATGTCTTTAGATTGGTAGCACAACTCCTTCTCCCTAGGCCATCAGAGCTCCCTAATGGTAGACTAGGAACCCGAAGTACTAGGCCCAGTGGGTTGAGCCTTGAGTGCAGATCTAGGTTCTGGCTCTGTCCAGGCCACCTCACTCACCTCAAGAGTTCCAGTTGTGGGTGTCAGTAGCCAGCCTGCCTCACCGGTTCTCCCTCAAATTTGAGAGCTCTTTGAAAAGTTAAATGAAATAAAAATTCCCTTGGGGTACCATGTGCCCTTTAAACCAGATGCAAAGGCTACGTGCTACAAAGGCCAAGGAATCACCTACAGGGGCACGTGGAGCACAGCAGAGAGCGGGGCCGAGTGCATCAACTGGAACAGCAGCGCTCTGTCCCAGAAGCCATACAGCGGGCGGAGGCGGGACGCACTCAAGCTGGGCCTTGGGAACCACAACTACTGCAGGTGAGGGGGCCTTCTTTCTTACTGAGGGGGGTTTCTTCGGGCAGAAAGAGACTGTAGTTGGAGGAGGAGGGAAAGACTCCCTGGTATATGGGTCTGAGAGGGGAGGCCTCACTTCTAATTTCTCTTGGCCTCACTGGCTGATTTTTCAGAAACCCAGACCGAGACTCGAAGCCCTGGTGCTACATTTTTAAAGCAGGCATGTACAGCCCAGAGTTCTGCAGCACACCCGCCTGTACCAACGGTAAGAGTGCAGCCCCAGCTGCATGCCTGACAGAGGCATCTGAGGGGACAAGACGGGCAGTTCCTCTGGAGCTGAGGAGGAAAAAAAATAAAATAGTGTGAAGGTGGTCAGTCATGTTGATTTACAGGCAAGAAAATCCAGAGAAAGACGTTTTCAAGTAGATTGGCCTGTAACTAGATATTGGAGCCGGAGTGGCTTGATTCTCTCTGTCTGTCTCACACACACACACACACACACACACACACACAGATTTTCATTCTCTACAGAAGAGCCTGATCAGAGATTCCAGTCTTTCTTTTGAGACTGAATGAAGTCACTCTCCTCCCTCCTTTTTGAAGGTTGTTGTGTTGTTAAGTGCCGTTGAGTTTGTCTGTGACTAATAGCGACCTATGTACAGCAGCTCTGAACCCTGCCCTGCCCTAGTCTCACTGACTCTGACACACCTATCCCTGTTGGCCCAGTAACTGTACCAATCCATCTCCTCTGGGATCTTCCTCTCCTGTGCTGTCCTTCCACCCTTCTGAGCATTATCTCTCCTTCTCTTTTAAGATTTTAATGTGGGAGACCCCAGCCAAGTTAAAAAAAAACAACAAAGTTACAAAAAAGTCCTATGCATTCAGTGGTGCTTTTCCAAATGTTACATATATGTCATTTGTCATATGGTTTGAAAAATAGTTGCAAATTATATGCTGTTGTTGGTGTTATGTGCCATCAAGTGGCTTGTGATCATAGCCACCCTATGTACAAGAGCCCTAAATGCCGTTCTATTCTCTGCCAACCTCACCACCTCCAACACACCCATTTCCACCATTCCACTCACAGAATTGATCTGTCTCATCGAGGGTCTTTCTCTCCTGTGCCGTCCCTCCACTCTGCCAAACATGATGTCCCTCTCCACAGAGCAGTCCCTCCTTGCAACATGCCCAAAGTATGTCAGATGAAGCTTCAGAATCCTTGACTCCAAGGAGCATTCTGACTTCACCTTCTCCAGGACAAACCTGTTGGTTCTCTTAGCAGTCCATGGCATATTCAACATTCTTCTCCAGCACCACAGCTCAAAGGCATCAATTCTCTTTCTATCATCCCTAGTCACTGTCCAACTCTCCAATGCAAAGCATGTAATTGCGAAGACTATAGCCTGGATCAGGCACACCTTAGTCTCCAGCCTGATGTCGTAAATAATATAGAAACATGTATATCTGTGTGTGTATGTATGAACATTGCTGATACAATGGGTAAGTCTGGTTGCTGACAGAAAAGAGATCAATTTGAACCCACCAGCAGCTCTGGCAATCTGCTTGCATAAAGATTACAGCCTAGGAGACCTAATGGAGCCATTCTACTGTGTCATTAGGGTCATTGTGCGTCAAAAAGTAGCTTGATGGCACATAGCAACAACAAAAACCTGTCTTGCCTATAACCTTAATGAAGGAGCCCTGGTGGTGTAGTCTGCAGGGAGCTGAACTGTCTGCAGCTTGAATCCACCAGTGCCTCTGTGTTCTGTTCTCACAATCGCTGACTCACTCAAGCCCTTTGCTGCAGTCTCTGCTCTGTGTAAATCTACCTGATTGAGGGCACACGATAGAACAGGGTTCAGTTCTGTTATTCACAGGGTTGCTATGAGTCATACTTGACTTGACAGCTCCTTACAACAATAGTGGCTCAGTGGGAAAAAGTTGGACAATCTCTCATGTGGTTTATACCCTTGGAAAACTTCTAACGGTTCAGCTGTGAGTCAGTTCCAGCTGGACAGCAATTAATTTTTTTCAGTCTGTCTCTTTGTATGTGTTTATACAGGTCTGGACACACATGCATCTTTATTGTGTGTGTGTAACACACACACACACACACACACACACACACTTATTGTTGTTGTTATGTACCATCCAATCAGAACTGAATCACAGCTCACCCTCCAGTGGGTTTTCAGAGGCAATAAATTAATTGCCTGAGAGGAGATTTGAACTATTTGCCTTCCAGTTGTCAATACAACTCCTTGCTGTTAGGCCACCAGAGCTCTTATATATATGCTTACACATGTCCATTAAGTTTACATGTAATGCTGACATACTTTTGAAATAGTAAACTCTGTAATAATTCTAAAGCTCTTCTACTACATCTCAGGATCTGAAAAAATTGTTATTCATTGGTTTAGATGATTTATGCACAGTGTTCTACTTTGTCAGTTTAAAAAGGACAATGATAGGCAAATAGGCAGCATTCTGAGATTCATTCCTGTTCCCCTTCCCAAGCCCATAGCACTTAGCGCTACCTGAACATAGCACCTTTTCTTGCTGAACCTGCATATACCGCAGAGACTCTCAATTCAGAAGCCACATCTAACTCGTGGAAGCTGGCACATGACATGAAATCCATTTGCCATCCCTAAGTATAAGAAGTTGCAGAAAGACAACAAAGAGGAATGGTGGAGATCACACCCCTTTCAACACTAGCCTGGCCTTCGACTTCTCTGTCCAGCACTTTCAATTCAGGCCCTATTGAAAGGTGTAATTGATCTGCTTGGCTGGTTTTGTTTCAGTTTCAGATTTCTTTTGTCCTAGGAAAAACCAAAGATTGCTACTCTGGAAATGGGTTCGATTACCGTGGTACTCACAGCCTTACTGTATCTGGAACCACCTGCCTCCAGTGGAATTCTATGATCCTGATGAGCAAGTTTTACACAGCGTGGAAGAGCAATGCTCAGACCCTGGGCCTGGGCAAACACAATTACTGCCGGTGAGTAGTGCAGGGTCTGGCTTCGCGGGTATAAGATGACAGTAGGAGAAAGATCTGGGTTAGGAGAAGACTGGTATTTATAGTTATAAAGGACTGACCGAGATGAAAAAAGATCAGGGATATTACATACTCTAGCCTTCATTTGTTAGAATCGCTATTACGAAAAGTCAAGCAGACCTTTTCCTCGATGAGGATGCCACGCTACGGGGTTTGGATCCATAGCCATTTAGTCCTCATCAACTCCATTCTCACATTGCACTTTATCTCCATGAATTTTAAGGGTTTCCTCACTGAACAGTTCACATTTCCTTTCAACACCCCTGTGAGATTAGATGGCTATATTACTGATAAGAAATTGAAGTTAAAAATAAGGGTTTTTTTTTCCCTTGGTGAGATTCTGTATTGGACCCAAGTCCAGAGCTCACGATCCTTCTTTGTAAGTCAGTGTTTTTGCCACTGGTTTACTGAGCCTCCGCTCCTCTCACACAAACAGTCGTGTTATGCCTGGAAAAATCTAAGCGTCTGAAACTCTTCACCCCCTTTATGTCTAGGAATCCAGATGAGGATGAGAAGCCCTGGTGCCACGTGCTGAAGAACCACAGGCTGACGTGGGAGTACTGCGACATGCCTCAGTGCTGTAAGGGCTGGCTCTTGACCACTCTCTCTCACATCCAGCTCCCGTCCTTTACCACCTTCTGCAGCCAGTCTCTGAGAAAAGCCAGGTCTGGGGCGGGCGGAGAGGTGGGGGCAGCCACACTTCTGAGCAGGTTTCCACACTCCTGAGCAGGTATCCATTTTATACAGCACAGGGATGAGGAAAAAGAGGCAGAAGAAAGAATAGTCAAGAGCAACTTCTATAAACAACAGACTTCAAAAAGAATTCAGTAGGCTCCCAACTTTTCTCTCTTGTGAGATTCCTTTAGTCTCCTTTAGTCATGCTGATGGTGAGCCTGGTGGTGAACATGAGGAAATGGCCTCTCACATGGTAATCCTTAGATAACAAAGCACTTTGTTAGCCTATCAGTCTGGTGAGAGGTGTTCTTCCCATCTCTGTTTTGCCACTTCTGAGCCATCATGTGGCCTGCCCAAGTTCATTGGGTTCCCAGGTGGTAGAGCTGCAGTTTGGTTCAATCATTCTCTGACTATAAGATGTGTGCTTTTACCATGAACTCTATTACCTCTATTTAGAAAAATTCTTCTGATTGGTTTTCATACAATCATTCATAAACATTTTGTTTTAGAACCTTAATTACCACTGATTAGCATATTTGATTAATTACAACATCTAAGCCACTCTTTACTGTGTCTTGTTTCTCTCTTGAAATAACTTGCCTATTTATTTTTTTGCCCCTATTTTCCTTCCCAGGCCTTTCTCTCTCTCTTTCTCTCTTTTTATTATTATTATTATTACTTTTGTGTGAGTGTACTGTCAAATCAGATCTGACTGGTACAGGAGGAGATTGCTCCTCCTTCCCCAGCAGAGCATCTGGTGGATTTGAACCGTGCGCCTCTGGGATTGTAGTTGCAGCTCCTTGCCACTAGGCCACCAGAGCTCCCCCCAGGCCTTTCTCTTAACTCTCCAAATTGATTTTCTATATAAAACTCTCCTTAGCTCTTTATAATAATGGTATTTTACCATTACAGTCTTTTTTAATTAATACATTTTATCAGATATTTAAAGAAGAAATGGCATCAATGCTACACAGACTTTATTATCTCTCTTGCTGTACTCCCCTAAGTGATAGAGGTTAGGAAACAGAAAATTCAAATATTGTTAAAATGGAAATCTTCCGTTTGGCAATTGGGAATAGATAGAATTCTCTGAGAAAAGGCTAATTCTGTTCCTGTGAACATACCATCTTACTAGGAAGATAAGACACAAACTGCCAGTTAACTCATAACCAAAGTTATTTGCAAGGTCTTGCTAATCTGCTGGGTTACAATGTTAAAAGAATGCTTACTGAGGAAGTAGGAATGCATGTGGGCCTGGAAAGCTGGGAAAAAGATGAAAATGTGGCAAATAAATGGAGTAAACATTTCCCAGGAGGGAACTACAGGGAGTTTGGGTAGTCTGCTTTGTGATTTCTTCAATCAGGAAGGGACAGACAGGAGGAGAAACTAGAAGCAGTAAAACCTAGGAGAAGGAGCTCCAGCTTTGGCGTCAGATAGACCTGGATTTAAATATCAGTGCAACGTGACCTAGGTCAAGAACTTCTCAGCCTTTGAAGCTCAGTCTTATGAGGATTAAACATAATGCAAATATGATCCTTGGCATATGTACTCAACAATGAGAGTCCTGGGTCTTGACACTGGAGACTCTTATATCACTCTGTGAAGTGCAGTGAACCTGTAGAACACTGGTTCCAAGAGAAGAAACTAAGATGAGCTGTCCAAGGGCGTCACCTCAGGGACCATCTATCTGACGTCCCTTTTCTTTCTTTACCTCTGCTAGCCACCTGTGGCCTGAGACAGTACAAGCAACCTCAGTTTCGCATTAAAGGAGGGCTCTACACGGACATCACCTCTCATCCCTGGCAGGCCGCAATCTTCGTCAAGAACAGGAGGTCACCAGGAGAGAGGTTTCTGTGTGGGGGAACACTGATCAATTCCTGCTGGGTTCTGTCTGCTGCTCACTGCTTCCAGGAGAGGTAGGGACTTGGGAAACCCAAAGCCATGCAGCTGGGGGTGTTCATTAGAGGGGGTCTGACAATCTATGGCTCTCTCTCCATTAGGTATCCTTTTGAGCACATTAAGGTGGTCCTGGGCAAAACATACCAGTTGATTTCCGGAGAAGAGGAACAGAGATTTGAAATAAAACAGTACTTTGTCCATGAGAAATTTGATGATGACACTTACGACAATGACATTGGTAAGATGCCATCCTCACAGCTTCAGCACAGAATTTCCCAGATCACAATCTACATCCCCCCAAAAAACCATGCATGTACCCTCTCTCCTTCTAAACCCTCAATCCTCTTTGAATTTTTCTCCTCTAAAATGAGAAGCAGCTCTTCACAGAGGACTTCTTTCCTTCCCCACTTCTCTCTCCCAGCTCTGCTGCAGCTGAAATCAAACTCACTGCAGTGTGCCCAGGAGAGCAACAGCGTGCGTCCCGCCTGCCTCCCTGAGCCCAACTTGCAGCTGCCTGACTGGACCGAATGTGAACTTTCTGGCTATGGCAGGCATGAAGCGAGTAAGTGGAAGGAAGTCTCGACTCCATCCTGTCTGTCAGCAGAGCAAAAGGAGGTGCAAGGTTGACCAAAGAACAAAAGTGCTTAGAAGAGCTGGATTCTAGCCCTGGCTCAAACCCTATTGCTTTGTCAAGGGAGAATCTGGGAATACATCATCTGCCTCCTAAGGTCCCTGTACAGGTCAAGGGTGTTTGGATATGCTTTCATGTGCTTAAGATTTAAAGAAAGTTCTGTCTGAATGTGGTGCTGGGGTAAAAGGATTTCCTAAGTGGCACAAACAATTAAGTGCTCAATTACTAACCTAAAGGTGAATGGTTCAAACCTACTGAGAGGCATTTTGGAAGAAAGGCCTGATTATCTATTTCTAAACAATCACAATCTTGGAAAACCTATTGTCTCACAATTTTCGCATGGGACTGCCGCGCATCAGTTGACTTTATAACAATCAGCTTTTGGACTCTGAAATTTTGCAGACCTGAATTCAAGTTCTAAAGGTGCACTTTGTTGGCTGTGCAGTCCTGGCCATGGCATTATCTGAAGACATGTCTTTTGTTGTTCAGGGAGTGGAGGTTAATAACTGACACTTAGTAGAGGCCACTGATACTGCGAAACATCTTATAATGCACGAAACAGCCCCTCCCACCACAACACAGAATTTTCTAATCCAAAATATCAAGAGTGCTGCTGTTGGGAAAGCTTGATTTAACTCCTATAAAATTGCTGCTTTTGTAGGTCAAAACAATAACATCTTGGCAATAGTAGAGTGTTGACTAGAACATGTGCTAAGACTTGATAAGTATCTTTGGAAAATTTCTTTTCCTCCTTCCTTTCTCTAAAATGTTGATTTCCCCTCCCCTTTTCAGCTTCTCCTTCTTATTCTGAGCGCCTGAAAGAGGCTCACGTCAGGCTGTACCCAGCCAACCATTGCACGTCAGAGCATTTGTTCAATAAGACCGTCACAAACAATATGCTGTGTGCTGGAGACACCCGCAGCGGAGGGAGCCACGTAAGCCTGCACGACGCCTGCAAGGTAAACAGGACCACCCCTCCGTGCTCCGGGCCCACCTGGGTGACAGGGTTCCATGGCCAACAGGTTTTTAAACAAGAAGGAAAAAATATAAGTATTTCTAATCAGAAAGCAGTGGTTTCAGCTTGGTGAGGCCCTGGGGATTTTAGATGAAGGCCTCAGAGAATAAAGCACTTGGAGAAAGATCAAAGTCACCTACATTTAAAACTAAACTGCAGGAAATTTCCCCAGTGTCTGAACAGGAAACTCCACCTGGTGCAGGATTTCCTGTGAACGGAATTAATTGACTATTGCAGTGATGGATAAAACAACACAAATTAAGAAATTACTAACATTCAATAGTGGTTAGGGGTAAGGAGTTGTGCTGCCAACCCAAAGGCACACGGTTTGGATCCTCCAGCTCCTCCGTGGGACAAAGAGGGACAGTCATCTGCCCTGTGATTTACCACCTGTGAAACCTCACTGAAGGGTCAGTGTGAGTCGATTCCAACTCATGGTACATAGCAACAACCATAGTGCTAGAGGATGGGAGTGAGCTTTGGAAGGGAGAAGAAGAAAGGGGAGCTTCCTGGACTGGAGGACATAGATAATTTGAGAGAATACATTCTTTAAAGCTCATATTTGGCCCTAGTATTCTGGGAAATCAAATTGTTTCAAGATCACCATGTAGGCAGTCTTATCAGAGTTGCTACATATATTTCATGGTGACAAAATATTGGGCTACCAAAGACAGACTAACTTGCTAGTATCGGGACCTGAATACAGCTCAGGAAATGTTAGCACGCAGACATTTTGGTGCCGATAGTCTGCCAGACTCTCCTTTAGGGACCAGGAGTTAGAGTGGAAAGAGAACTCCTGCACTGCTCCCATACTGAAGACTCTGTAAGGCTGTCCTTATTACATGATCAGGCTGGTCTCCGCCCCCCCTTGGCTTCTTGACATCATTTGGTCTCTTTTGATTGGTGTCTTTCCATACCTCAAGTGTAGGACCTAAGCCAACTGTCATTAAAAAAAGGTATGCAAAGTGAAATCATTATCTGCAAACTTCAAATTAAAGCTGCCCCGTAGGAGAAAGCTGGGCAATCTCCTCCCGTGCAATTAACTCCCTCTGAAAACCCACTGAAGGGTCAGCTATGGGTTGGTTCCGACTTCGACGGTACACGACAACAAGAATAATTTTATTTCAAAACCATAACAATACCAGCTAACAGTTACCAAGGGTTTGGCTAATTAAATATTATTCTCAGTGCTCTTCATGCATTCTCCCAATTAATTCATAGAACAGCTTAGTTTACATCATAAACTTTTATCTGGAGTGCTGTTAGCTTATAGCCACGTCTCTTAAGTGGTGGAGTTCAAAGTAGAGACCTTTGAGGCCTGAAATGCTTGAGGAGTTTTATCAATTCCACTTTCACCTGCATGTGTAGAGATACAGTCTAGGTCTCCAGAGGACCGAGATAATGCATGTGAATGTTTTCTGAATTACACTCTTAACTCTGTAAATAGTAATGCCTAACGTCCTTAGTCTTTCATTTTCACCCACCGTAACCTGTTCCTTCTCTTGCAGGGTGACTCAGGAGGCCCCCTGGTGTGTATGACAGACCAGCGCATGACTTTGGTTGGCATCATCAGTTGGGGTATTGGCTGTGGACAGAAAGATATTCCAGGTGTATATACGAAGGTTACTAACTACCTGGGCTGGATTCAAAACCGTATCAAACCATGACCCAGGCAACCCAACTCTGAAATCAACTGATATCCTGCCTCCTTCACCAGAGGACACACTGCCAAGACAGAGTGATTCATTCTAGACTTCTCCATAAACCATCACATAGAAATGGAAGAACTGGCAGGGGAGGAAAGAGTAGATCTTTGCACAGGTCCTTCTCATTATGGAAGTTTCCATGAGTTAAAATCTGAACTCAAAATGTCATCTGCCAAACAGGGAAAGGGATTCCACCACCTAGAGTAGAAGAGAAGAGCAGAACCAAAATGCAGCCTCTTTGTTACTGGTCAACAGGAACAGCTGTGTGAATGGGAAGCCCAAGATAAAACCTTAACTAATGAAACATAGCTACACCTTTAAGAAAGGACAGTATTAGATGTGTCAGAAAGAGAATATGTATATGTCCTGGTCAGCCAGATTGGAGGACAGTCCTCCCAGAAACTTCAGGATCTCAATCATCCTTTGAATTAAGTCTTTTTTTTTCCTTTCATTTACTCCACGGTTCTTGTAATGTAGTCCTTGCTTTTGTGTATAGTGTAAATCTTTTTTTCTTGATGAACTTTATAATAGGAGAGTTGTATCATTTTAAAAATTGATAAATGAGTCTTTAAATATTTATACCTATCAAGCCATTTTAATTTTTCTTTTCTGTTGCCACAACCTTGTACTATACTGTAGTAAGATAATAATTTTGAAAATAAATATATTTTTCACATTTTTTTTCAAAATCAGAGTAGCATGGTTTTGTTACATGCACTTATACATGTACTACCCTGAAACTTATTTATTGATGTTATTCATGTTCACATGTTTTAAATTATTTTAAATATTTCCTTTTTAATATCTATAGAACACGTGCTGCATACAACATAATGTTATAGGCTATAAACAGTGAAAAGAAAAAGGAGATCTTGGTCAAAATATTTTGAAAAATTACAAGGTAAAAAATGAGATGAGCCACTAAATTTCAGAGAAACTTTTACTAGAATCAGTTGCAAGAGTAGGCAATTTTATGAAGAAAATACAATATAAATTGAGCTTCCAAACATTGAGTAAGACTTCAACTTATGGAAGACAGGAAAGGAAGGCATTTTTGAGGCAAGGAATTTTAATGCATGAAAATATAAATATTAAGAGACAAAAAAGCAATGAAAGTATATGGGACTGATTAGTTATTACCCTTAAGTCATTAAAAGGTTGGGATTAGAATGAATTGGAATTTAGGATGCCGAATTGGGTTTGAGCTTAATTCTGTAGGCAACATGGAACCATTGAAATTTTTATAAAGGGTTGTTGTTAGGGATCTTCCGGCCCAGCACGACACATCTGATCTGAACCCTGCTCTATCCTGTGCCATCCCCGTCAGCTCTGAAAACTCAAGCCCATTGTTAACACTGTCAATACTTGTTGAGTAGTCTCATACTAAACTCAGTGGTGTCCAGTAAAACTGATTAGGAAAACTTCAGGGGCAGCAGCTATAGTAGTAAGAAGTAATAAGAAGTGAGAGGGAGAGAAAGAACGCGCCATGACCTTGCTAGCACAGCAATCACCAATGATTGGTTTAGACTAGAAGTATTAGGACCGTTTCCTCCAGTTCTGTTTTTCTGTTCTGTTTATCAGAAACAACACCCAGGGCAATCCACATGTGAATTTACTTACACAGTGTTGCTTTCTTTTTTATTTTCCTACCATTCTCAGATGCAACCCTGCCTCCTAGCTGTTGCCTGATCACACTTGACATCACTAACACCCCAGATCCAAAAATAAATTTGAGAATGCAGATTTACTATTGGGTATTTGCTGACACCGTTTCTTAGAGGGGGAAAAAAAGGAGGAGGGATGATAATTGTTCTTATCTCTTGAGGTATTCTCACAGGCTTGATTAGAAGGTAATAAATAAGCTTCTGAAAAGCTGAGATTGTGCTGTCTCTAGGCCAAATAGATGCACATTATAGATACTTAAGCCACAGACTTCTTGACTTGAGACTACTAGTTTCTAAGATCTCCTGGCCCAGTAACAGATTCTATTTCAAATAGATGTACACCTCAGTCATTTCAGAAAAACAGTTCACTGGTCAAGGATGACATAGGGAAAAGTTTCTGGTTAAGTACATCTCTGGCAGGAATTCAGCAAGCTCCTTCCCTTCCCCCTTGCATGGCAAGCTTTTCTTCAGACAGTGGAGTTAATGAAATGAACTAAAGCAGTAAGGCCTCCTGGGATGGAAATGCCGAGTTCCAAGACTCCACCCTGCATTCCTCCGAATGGAGTCTTGGAAACCACACACTGAGTCAAGACAATGGCTCAGAGGAGGTCACTAACTGAGTTACAGGGCAGAGGCCTACACACCAGAGTCCTAAGAATTACACTGAACGATACTCAAAGAGAAACACATTGCCTGGTATAGGCTAAGAAATTCAAGATCCAGTATCTAGAAGTTGTTAGGAAAATGGAAAGGATAAGGGGAAATTAAATATTACTTCCTCATTATACCAAACTACTTAGAACAAACTGATGCTAGTAGAACAAGGAAGATTTCTGGGTAAATGCGCAATTAATTTCAGTGGATAAAGATCTAGACAGACTCACGAAATTAGAACTATTGTCTCCCTAGAACTGCATGCATAAATCTGGTTACCGAAAAGTTGCATGAGCTTTGGCTCTACATTTTACTCTGAAGTGAAAGAAATCAATTATTCCTCAGTATGTGAGATCCAAAAGGAAGCCCGAGCGTTTCAAACTTATTTTCTAAGAATTAAAAAAAAAAAAAGTGAGTCTCATTGCTGGCATTGAGTCACCACCTACTGGCCACAGAAGAAAATACAAATACTATAACAAATTGTCCAGGGGAAAGGTATTGAATTTCAGAACCATCTCAGGAACAGGTTTGAGGCCTTGAACACTAATGAGCAAAGACCAGAGGAGTTGTGGGAGGATATCAAGGGTATTATCCAGAAAGAGTGCAAACGGTCATTGCAAAGACAGAAGAGGAAGCGAAG